AAAAAAAAAAAGAGCCAACCTACTATCAAGACAAAGTAAAGCAAGTACTACTAGAGATAAAATAATCAAACAGGGAGAATATCACATAATACTAAATATGTACAACTGTGAGGTTAGCATAATATCAAAAATTATAAAGCAAAACCTCAACTAAAAGGGAAAATATAATCAATGACAGGAAAAGGAGATCAAAAATCAACTGATGTAGAATTGAGGCCCCATATGGGGGAGGGAAGGCAAAGTTGGGAGGTTGCACAATGGACTCGGAGAGACCTGTGGATGTCCTGGTAATGGGTGTTCAAAGGGTATGGTCCAATACCTCTAAACCATATATGTATTGTAAGCCAATGTTACCTCAATTAAGACTTTTTTTTTTTTAAAGAAAAAAAAAAAAACAGAAGACTTGAACAATTAGCAGTTTGACTGATTGACATCCATATAACACTGACTCAACAGTAATATTAAAAAATAGTTTTTCTGGAGTGCATGCAATATAAATTGAAAGAGACCACATACTGGGCATAAAACAACTCAACAAATTTCAAAGGACTGAAATCATACAATCTATGCCCCCTGATCAAAGATTTTTAAGATAGAACAATATATTGATTACTATATTTTGAGAGGAAAAAAGTATAAAAACATGTATTTGTATATTTACATCAAAGTTGGAAAAAAGAAATACTGTTTGCCTATAGTATGGCTGGGATGAGAAATGGGAAAGCATAGGCTTTTCAGTTAAAATATCTCAATAAAGAAAACCCAGATATAAACCCACAAGTTCATGCACAACTAATTTTTGACAAAGGAGCAAAGAAGATACAATGGAACAAAGAAAGTTTGTTCAGCAAATGGTGCTGGGAAAACTGGAACACTACTGCAAAAAAATGAAACTAGATCACTACCTCACTCCATTCACAAAAATCAACTCGGACCTAGACATAAGAACGGAAACCATAAAATACCTGGAAGCAAAGATGGGCCAAACACTACACGACATACACTTCAACATCTTTAATGATAGAGCACCCGATGCAATGATAGTGAAGGCAAGGATAAATAGATGGGACTACATCAAGTTAAAGAGCTTCTGTATAGCAAAAGAAACATTACAAAAAACAGACAGACCACTAATTGGGAAAAAATCTTCTCACACAAAAACAGTGATAAAGGAC